AATCAATTATTCAAAATTGAGAGGGAATAAATTTAAAATCAAATACGAAAAACAACAACACCGCATAAACGTGTCAGCAGGACGCACATCCAGAACGGCTATTCATTGTTAGAATCTTCAAGGCAGTGAATAGCGCAACCCATAGACAATAAATTTCAAATAAGTATAGTTTATTTAACGCTATAATGTAAATTGACTACAATTGTAAAATTTTTGCTAAATGTCATTTTGTGTGCACAGTTTACGTCACTAGCGATTGGGTAACGTAGGTGAAAAAAAAATATAATTTATGAATGCAGTGAACTAAGAAACCAGCTGAATTATATGTATCGATTATCTGAAAAAATCTCATGATATTTTTAAAAATTTATATCATCGAGGTTTTCCCTCGACCACAACGAATGCTTTTCATTTAGAAGAAATGTAAAGAGTAATAGCTACATCATTCCATTTTAAATCTTTTGAAACGATTCGATCGCCGCAAAAACGGGATTCTATGTGAACAGAAATATCGGATATCGCAGTTTCGTCAGCCCAGGACCAGGATCGCGTGTGATGCGCTTTACGCCAACTTTTATTTTGATTCGCATTGTCGCCATTGGTCGGGAAGTCGGTAATATATGGAGGCGCGTAAGCGGCTTACGAAGCAATTGTTTCTAATGCTGATGTGTCTTGTTAAAACCAGGCCTATGCATACTTAATGAGATGCCAGCGAGACAATAATGGGCTCTCTCCATAATCTCTGCCAATGCAAGCGATTATCTCTGATGGCCAACTGCGAACGGTTGCCCGATTAGCTTCGTTCAGAATAAAACAAAGCGCTGCAAAAACGGGCCTATAGCGCCTATTTGTTTGCTGCAAATGAATCAATCACGTTGGTCATTTTATTTAGAGCTAAATCATAGATCAGTGCACCAAAGAACTGAAAAATTTAAACTCCGGTGATGTCGAAAAAAACTAACATTTTTTCTCCAAGTTGTCATTGGTGAGACGTGCTGATCCTCACCAACAACAATATCCTAATAATGAATGGTGATTCTGGCAATTGTTTTTTTAATAAAGGGTATGGATGGAGCCACATTTTCGTAAATACATTAAATATCAAACCGAGCCTGATGAGTACGCAAGATAGGTTTCCTACAAATAATTGTGTTCTAACGAAAAAAATATGAATGTATTAACTGAATTTAGCGAAAAATAGTGAAATTGAATGGAAAACAGCTTTCAAATGTCGTCTACCGCAATTAATATGATTTAGAGTTACATTCAAACGGCGTTGGAAAGATTAAAGTTATAATTTTTTTCGAAAAATCCGTTATAGGTATTATTTTCTTGAATCGTAATTCTCCGTTAAAGCGTTAGCCCTGAACGAGAGGTATGGGGTTCATTGCAAAGGTATGGGGTTCATTGCAATGGTATGGGTTCACCGCAGAGGTATGGGATTCATCGTGGAGGTATGGGGTTTATCGCAAAGGTATGGGTTCATCGCAATGGTATGGGTTCACCGCAGAGGTATGGGATTCATCGTGGAGGTATGGGGTTTATCGCAGAAGTGTGGGGTTCATCGCATAGGTATGGGGTTCATTGCTGAGGTATGGGATTCATTGCAGAGGTATGGGTTCATCGCAGAGGTATGGGGTTCATTGCTGGGGTATGGGGTTCATTGCAGAGGTATGGGTTCATTGCAGCGGTATGGGGTTCATCGCAGAGGTGTGGGGTTCATTACAGAGGTATGGGGTTCATCGCAGAGGTATGGGGTTCATCACAGAGGTATGGGGTTCATCGCAGAGGTATGGGGTTCATTGCAGAGGTATGGGTTCATCGCAGAGGTATGGGGTTCACCGCAGAGGTATGGGGTTAACCGCAGAGGTATGGGGTTCATTGCAGAGGTATGGAGTTCATCGCAGAGGTATGTAGTAGTAGTAGTAGTATCTTCGGCATTAAAGAATAGGCCTGGATAGGCCTGTCGCTGATTCTTGTGCTTTTCTTGACTAGACTGGCCTTTTGATCAGATCTTTTCAACGGACGGTAGATTTAAAATCGATTCTAGATATCAGTTGTTCCGTAGGGTACGAGGCATTTTAAGACTAAACATATGCTCTTGCATGGCCTTGTCTAGTCTGTTCTTGAACGCGTTCATACTCGGAGCGTCAACAATATCTTCAGGGAGGCTGTTCCACATGTCAGTGACTCGAAGCGAGAAGAAATGTTGTC